CACGTACAAATCGGAATCATACTCCTTGTGCACGTAATTCTGGGTGTCCTGGTGATCCCTGGCCCGTTAAGCCAAGGCTTTTCAATAACCCAGTTTGAGTGTTGAGTGGCGGAGGTGATTAGGTGATTTTTTTTCTTTTTTATTAATTTTTTTTTCGGTTGCATTAGGGTTATTCACTTAGATTGGACAAATTTGACCATCCAGAATTCGGTTTGTAGCAATAACCAGTGAGACTGGTGAGGCCGCTCAGTGTTTTGGGAGTCATCTGTAGCGCTGGAGGGATGGAGGTGGCGTTTTGGACTCTGCTTGGAGCTGCTTCTGCTCTCTGTGATTGAGGCTGTTGCCAAGTGGTAGTGGGGGATCATCTGAACAGGGGTGGCCTCGCTGCCAGCATCGCTTCTGCCAGAGCCGTCACCGGCATCCGAGATGTCCAAAAGAGCATCCGGCGAGCTCAGCTCTTGCCCGGCTCCCCTGCCCTCCTGCTTCCCTGAGCCCTTTGCCTTTGCAAGGTGGAAGCAACTTGCCTCCCCGAGCAGCAAAATCCAGTTTCCCGTCCCCGGCTAAGGCAGCTGTGAGTCAGTGTGCTCGTGAGGTTCGCCAGCGGGAAGAACTGGTCTGAGGAACTGTGCCCGTGACGCCGCTGGAGCACGGCCAGCTCGGGTCCGTGCTGAGGGTGTACCCTGGGCTTTGCTTTCCCCCCCCCAGGCTCGACAGCGTCGGAGGGCAGGAGACAGAGCAGCTGCTGCTCCTGGAGGCCCCGAGGGTCCACAGGTAAAGCCCCAGAGGATTTTGAGATCCTGGAGTTGAGCTGCTCCTGGTCCTGACCCCCAAGCCTCTCCTTGGATGAAAGCTCCGCGGCTGGGATCAAGTCTTGCTGCTGGAGCTGGGTTGTCTCTGGGCTGCACCGGCCAGCTCCCGCGTGGTTTTGGGGTATTGCTGCCGCTTCCATCCGTCCACGTTTCCTTCCAGGGGATATGATCTGGGGCCGGACCCCGCCCTTGCTTTCACCCAGTGAAGGCCAAGGTCTGGCAGCTCAGCTCCCCAGACCTTCCTCAAACCCTGGTATAGCCTAGAGCTGGGTCCTTGCAGCCCTAGCCGGAGGTCCATGCCTGGAGGGAAGTGAGATCTTCCGGTGCCCCCACACCGGGTGACCTCCCGTCGTAAAAACTGAGTTCTGTACAGGACAGATGTTCTCCAACTTGAGAAGAGCTGCTCCTCAGCCCTGAAATTAGAGCATTAACTTGTCTGTCTTCTCTAGCTGGGGGCAGCCGGCGGTGGCTGAAGTGACCCTCAGTCCCATTCAGGACGGCAGAAGCAGCTTCTTTACGTTTGCTGGAGGCGAGAGATGCGAGAGGCAGAGGGTGGTGATTAAAAATGGCCGTCTTGAAATCGATAGCCCCTTGCGTTCGTGTTCTGAGCCAGCTGCCTGGCCTCACTTGAAAATGCTGCTGTCTACTAAAACAGTCAGGACTCAAACCCCCCCTCATCCAGGGCCCCTGGGTTCATGGCCCCTAATGCTGAAGTTCCCCTCTGGATTTTTCCTAGCGAGGTCTCCTGCAATTTTTATTTCCAACAACACCACACCCCCCCCTTAATTTAAGGTTATATTAGGCAGATCTGCTTCAAGCTTTCCCACCAAACCAGGGCAGAGCAGGGGAAGAGATGCAGAACACTTAGAGTGACAATGCGGAAGGATTTAGGAGGAAATCTTTGATTGCAGTAAGGTGCCACCTGGGCGGCGATGACTTTAACCCCTGGCAGGCCTGGGGCAGGAACAAGGCAGTGGTAGGTGATGACATTAAGAGCCCAGAAAAGGGGGTTTCAGCTCCTCCCCCCCCCCCCCCCCCCAGCAGGCAGGAGCAGGCCAGGATTGCGAGCAATACAGTCAACTCTGGAGCAGCCCAAATAATCCCTTCCCCGTGCGAGCTGTAAGGCAGCGTGCAGAGAAAGCAAGACTGATGTTCCCCTGCCAGAGTTTTGTCTTCCAGCAAACTTCCAGGGTTTCATGGGGGTTTTTTTTTGTTTGTTTTTTTTTTTACCCCCTAATAAATGCAGAGCTTGGCACAAGCACAAAATCCATGTCATCGCTGCTCGCACCAGGAAGGGAGACGTGAAGGCAGCAAGTAACGAAGGCTGTAGGCCAAACTGTGCAAGGGAGAGAAAGCAAGGGGAGGGACAGGGGGAGGGGGAGGAAGCCCAGTGAATAGGGGGAAAAGGAGAGGAAATAGTCCAGGGAGAGTAGCATGAGGTGGGTAAGGCAGGGCCAGAAGAATGGAAGGAAATCCTTGCAGAAATGGGCAATTTGAAACGTGTTCCTTCTGTGCCCTGTCATGGACCTGCCCCTGGCAGATGCTCTAGGCCTGGAGGTGTCTGGGGAGGAATCGGCTGGCTTTCGGGGATGCGTTGGTTGGAAAAGGGCGAGGCAAGGAGGATTGGAAAGAAACTTCCCTGCCCGTGACCCTGGAGCACCTGGCCTACCTGGAGCATCAGTCCCAGAGGACGAGTTTTGGAAGTCAGTAGGTGTGCCCAGCCCGCTGCCATGCACAGGGCGCCCACGGCCACAGCACACGAGGTCTTATGGCTCCTTCCCCCTCCCTGGCCATCTCGTTATTTGCAGGAGAAGCGAGAGTGGGAGGAAAAACTCATGATCTTGTTGGCCTGCTGCCAGTTGCTAAGGCAGTTTCTTCAAAAGGGAGAGGAGCTGTGGAAGGAGGGAGCTGCCTGGAGAGGAGGCAGATGATGCACGCGAGGACCAGGCGGGGGAAATAGGAGCCCACAACCACCAGCAGTGGGGGCAAGTGGGGCCATGGGCTCAGTGGGGAGAGGAGGTGAAAGGAGCCCAGAGGAAAGGGGTGAAGTGGAAAGGGGTGGGAGGGACCAGGGAGAAACGGCTCCTTGAGCAGCTCCGCTGTGGAGCCAGCATCCCTCCAGGCCTGCCTCAGCTGATCAGATAGCTCTGCTTCCCAGCAGCTCTACGAAGCGTTGCCTGTGGCTGGAAGGTGGTTTGGTTTTTGTGTTGGTTTTTTTTTTTTTTTTTTTCTTTTCCCCCAAAGGCTTTTCCCCGCTGTGGTTTCTCTGGTGAGCACAGGATGCGTGTGGTCCAGGGTGTGCTGCAGAGGCAGGGCTGGGCACGGGGCTCGCTCCTCCTGCCAACCAGGGGAGGAACCCACGTCCCTCCAGGCCTGGGTCGGAGGCAGGGAGCGTTGTCCCTCCCGGGCGAGGGCACCAGGAGCGCGCTGGGACAAGGGTGCCTTTTGCTGTCGTCCCCCCCCTCCTCGCCTCGGTGCTGCATTTGGGTGTGTTTCTGCCCGCATGGCATAGGCCTGAGCAAGGTTCGTGACATCTGGTAACTACCTGGCTGCAGCACCCCAACGGTTTGGGCCCAGAGAAGAATTTGGTGGCTGTTGTCAGCTCTGGAGTTGCTGCACTGGCTCACGGCGATACGGAGCAGCAGCGGAGCTGGGCCAGCTCTGGGCTGTCGCTGCCAGCAAAGAGCCGCTGCTCAGCACTGTTGTGGCTCCTCTGCCTGGAAAACCCCCCTCCTGGGGCACGTTGGCAGACGCGCCTCGGAGAGGGAGGGACTGTCCTTCAGCCCCGAGGGCACCCCAGATCCTTGTCACCCCAAGAAACAAGGGAAGCGCCTTCAGTCCTCTGGTGGGGTGTGGGTGTGAGCTCCCTCAGACCTGTGCTGAACCCCAAACCTGCTTTCTGCTGCCCACCGCGCGGGCGAGCTCAGAGCAGGGGCTGCTTGCGGAGAGACGCCGGGTTTGCTGCCCGGGAGCCCTCCGGTTGGGGCAGAGACTAGAGGGAGGTGCAGCCTGCCGGCTCCTGGCGCAGGTACCCCGCTTTAAAAGCCGGGAGCAACGCTTTGCCCTCGCTGAGCTGGAAAGCTCAAAGGTTGGAGCAGGTGGGAAGCCACTGGCTTAAGGATGGGATAAGTAGGGCTCTGTACGTGGCGTTTTGGGCCGGCAGCATCTCTCGGTAACAAGTCACAAGTGAGAAGGGAAGCTCTTAAAAGGTAAGTGGCAACAAAACCGGCGCAGCTTCGGGAGGGTGACGGTGGCTTCTCCGTGCTGGCTCCCAGACAGATGTTGCCGGTTGCCAGTGCCCCACGCTGGGTCGGGGCACTGGCAACATCTGTCTGGGAGCCAGCAGTCCGCCGGCGCAGGGCGAGCACCGGCGCAGCCTGGCTGGGAGCGGAGCCGCCGGGGCAAAACGTTCACCCTGTAGTCTGGCTTGGGGCTGCGTTTCAGCCCTTCGAGCCGGGGGGGGGAGCAGCTTGCCGAGCAGAGAGAAATTCAGTCCCCAGGCTGGCTTTACTTCTTCCACTTCTACTTTCTCTGCGTTTCCTGCGCCCCGTGGCCCCACAGCCGTTTGGCCCCGAGCGGCAGCTGGTGCGCGGAGCCCCGGCACGGCCGCGGCTGAGGACTTGCTGCTTTTCCAGCTGGTTTTTGGTTCGCTGTAAATCCAAAATGGAGCAGTCACGTTTCTCGTGGGTGTAGGAGGCCGGGGGGGGGTGTGTGTGAGAGACTCATCTGGGCCGGCCTGAACGACGCTCCTGGGCTGTGCTCGCTGCTTTAGCGCCGCAAAAGGCTTGAGCCAAAGGCTGGGGCGAGATCTCCCTCCTGGCCGGCTCTGAAAGCAAACACCAGTCACCTGGGGGGGGACGGGGGCACTGATAAATGAAGCAGTGGATTAAGGTATCGGATGTTTCCCCGCTGGGATTTCGTGCCCTAAAGGGCAGTGCATTCTAGGCCTTCAAACCGGAGAGATTCCGCTCTGGGCCAGCGGAGCCCAGGGGTGGCGGCGGGAGGACGGGGCCGCCGAGGGCCCCTCGCGCTGCCGGGGACAAAAGCCTCGCCCAAGGTGCCGCTTCTCTTCCTTCTGTTGGGGTGAGGGGGGGCTGGTCCCTCCTGTCCCCCCCCTCGCGCTGCCCGAGCCGTGGGGTCTGCCTCCCCCTCACCGGCCCCTCCGGCGGAGGGAAAGAACGAAGCCAGAACTTATTTTAATCGTTTATTGTATAATATAAAACTACAAAAGTAAGACTGCTCATTTCCATGTACATTTGTCCAATTGGTTTTTTTTTTTTTTTCAGATTACAGCCCATACCTACATGTGCATACAGTAATCTGGTTTCAGATGTATATGTCTGTAATATTGCATAGAAAAGGCACAGCTCTAAGGTCTGTGGGAGGGGAAGGGGAAATACAGCCTTTTTTCTTTTTTTTTTTTTTTTTCTTTTTTTTTTTTTTTTTTTTTTTGACAATATAACAAGCCCTGTTCAAACAACCATGCACTGAACATGTCACACTATTTACACCTTTTCCAGAATCTTGGCCTTTAGAGGCGCTAGTATGGATTATGCTCAGAACTAGATAGGAGTCGAGGTTGGGATTTTTATCTGCAATTTGTGTTTTTTAGAGGTTCCAGAACTCGCGTTAGGCTTATTTTCAGAAAAAAGTGCTTGAAGAACTGATTTCTTTAAAAACGTTCAGTCTCATTAATTAATAGAAGCACTGAAAGCAACTTGCACAGAAGCAGGATACTGAAACCTGACGGGGGAAGAAAAACAAAACACTAAAACCCCAAAGAAACCCTGTAACGGGAACGAAAAGCTCGCAATACGCTGGAGCGAATTAAACCGTTTGTCAGACAGGACCCGTTACGATTTATTCAATTTTAATGGTGATAAAAGTGTAAACTTTGGATTCAAAACGTTGGTTTTAGACATCCCAGGCTACTGCCACACGGCACTGAGGCAAAACCAAATTGCCTTTCGCACGGTCCAAATTGATTCTTACAGCGATCGCTGCAGCGAGCGCCTTGGCTGCCTCGCGGCTCTAGCTGGCTGCAAGGGAGGGGCCGGACTGCTGCCTTGATCCGGCCCCCCAGGAGGGACGTTGCCCACCCTCTTGCTGTGCGGTGCCGGGGGGGCTCCGGCGGGGCCCCGGGGAGGTCGCAGGGAGCGACTCGGGTGGTTGGAACTCGAGGAAGCCAACCCCTCCTGCCGCGGGCGGTTGTGATTTCTTGGCTGGCCGTACCTTCCGGCAGGGAGGCTGGAGGGAACACCCTGCAACCTCCTTCGGCCCTCCAGCCCCAGGGAATCCAGCTGCGCTTCCTGCGCGTGTTAAAAAAAAAAAAAAAAAAGAAAAAAAAAAAAAAAATCACATTTTTCAAACATTTACCAGGCCAGCACGCTGGAGGCGATTGTGTTTCCTCCTGCCTCCTGGTGCAGATTCCAGCAGAGTGCCGAGGGAGGCCCGTCTCAAGAAGCTGACGGGGTAGGAACCTGACTAGGACTAATTTTGAACATAAAACTGTCCCTCATCCATACCTTTTTTGCATATTTCAAACAACCAGACCCATATTAAAAAAAAAAAGGGGGCGGGGGGGTGATGGGGAAGTCATGTGAACCATGCATATCCTGACTGGAACTCAATTCATTTTCTCTGAATCTGGCTCCCATACCCTTTTTCATACAGATTTACATTCCTACAAGAGAATACATTCCTACCATACATTCTGTACATGTTACAATCCAGATGTTGTTAGCTTCACAATAAAATAAATATATTTACAGAAGGAAACAAACCAAAAAAAAAAAAAAAAAAAAAAAAAGAATAAATAATTTATGAAAAACAAACAAACAAAAAAAAAAATCACTTCAAATCCAAAGCTCTTTTATTCTGCTCCCATCTTGTCACTTCATTGCACATTAATGTCACTCTCCATCCCTGGCGTGGCGGCTGCTCGGCCGCCTGGCCAACCTTCCCCCCAGCCCCTAAATCGGGGGCATCTGCGTCCGAGGGGATGCCCGTAAGGACTCTGCCCCTGGGACCTGCGCTTCAGCACCGAGGATACACGGACACCGTCTCCCGAGGGGTGGGGCTGGAGCTCAGCGCTTGTTGGGGGGGACAGAAAAACTTCCAACCGACCCCACTTAACTCTCCAAAACGGCCTCGATGGCCTCTCGGTGTTTAAATTCGGCAGCAAGCCCCAGAAGCCGGGCAGCTCCGGCAGCTGCAGGCGAGTTTTTAACCAGGGTAAGGCAAGTGCTCACCGAGTCACCGCCTGCCCGCGGGCGCCCAGCCCTCGCACGGCCAACGTTTTCCCAGTTACTCCAGTTACAAGAGGTGCAGAATCCATCAGGGCTGGTTGTTTTCCTACAAGGGCCAAGAACTGCAGCTGAGCCAGGTCCAGTCACCGCTGTGTCTGAGACAGAGCCGTGTCCCCCCCTTCGCTTCTGATGGTCCCTAAAGCCACACTTGGTCAATGGTTTTCTGGTGGAAGCAATAAAGTTACTTTTTTTTTTTTTTTTTTTTAAAGTCTACGTAAGGAAACAACTGCAAATCCATCAGCATCCCTCCCGTTGCTTCACTGAGTTTGGCTTGGAAAAAAGAAGCGAGCAATTCCCCGCCCCTCCTCAGCCAGCTCCCTGCCTCCTCCCCCCGCCCCTGGCAGATGAAGTAGGAGCCAGAAGCGCATTTTTGTAATTGCCCACGACACGTTTCATTTTGATTAGGAGTTCCTTCATTGCAAAACGTATTTGCTTTTATACTGTGTCTGTGTGCATACCTATGTTACATCTATCTCTATACTAATAAATATATATGGCCTGGTTTAAAGTGCCAATTTATAAAAAGCTGCCTCCTTAAAAGGCAGACGAGACCCAATTTCATCCATGACAAGAAGGGAGCAGAATTGACTGAATATTGCCAAATGACATAAAACATAAGTTAAGATTTCTTAAATAAATATAAAAGTTATTCCTAAAGAAGCCATAGGCATGTCAACAATATAGGTTGTAACCAGCGCTCAACAGCTAAAGTACCATTGAAAAAAAAAAACTAAAATGCCATAGCGACTTCAGCAATAGGCATGGTACATTGCAAACATATTTTTTTTTTTTTTTTTTTTTTTTTTTTTAAATTAAATGTACACCACAACGAACTTAAAAAATGCTATTGGTGCAGTGATGAGAAGACTTCTCAGGTGTTACAGGGAACGGGACCATGCATAGAAAGCTGTGTCTGTATACTCGTCGTAAAACCCGGTCTATAAAGTGTAAAGCAGGTAACGCAGTCGATACGAGAAACCGACCCTACCCGAGATGCCAAGCGACGCAGCACGACTGGCTCCAGTTTCAACAGCAATGGATATCAAAGCAAGTCCATCCAGTGCAGGTAGGAGATGAGCTTCCCTGCGCTAATACTGAAGTTGCCCTTTTTCCAGCGCTTGGCGCAGTGAGGTGGGGCGAGGGAAGGAGAAATGCTCCAAGAAAAAGAGGCGAGGGGGGGACGCCGCCGGCGCCGCTTCTCCCGCCCGCGCCGCGCGGCCACAGGTTGGGTTCCTGGGGGGGGGCTGAGGTGGGGGGGGGGAACGGGCCCCTGGCCCCCCCCAACCCCTTCCCCGGAGCTCCAGGTGCGAAGTGCTGACCCACCGCCGTGCCAAGGCGCTCCACGTCAGGCCGGGCGGCTCGGGACCCCTGCGTGGGGCGGGGGGGTGGAAGTTCCACAACTGTTTCCTGCCGACTGCTTCACATACGTGTTGGAAAAGGACATGGCTCTGAGTTTCGGGAATCACAGTAGTGCGCAGTGGGTACAGCAGGGAGCAAACACTTGTGAAACTCCGGCAGAAGCAGCTCCCAGCCCTTTCTTAAAGCACTTTTTTTTTTTTTTTTTTGTGTGTGTTTGCATTCAGGGAAACCGACTGCAGGCTTATTTGATCCAATTTTCTCTTTGCACCATACACATATAAAACATTACAACTCTGTATAAAAGTACAAGTGGTTCTTGTACATCTGAATTATGCAGGAACTATGTGAGCAAATCCTATCAAAATAGCTATTTTTTTTGTGTGTATAAACAGCATTTGTTTTTAGAAAAAACAATATCATAAACTGCAGAATCTGTACAAAAATATAAAATAAATTTGGGCAGCAGTTTCTAAACAGCCATGTAAATGCAACACTTAAAGAGGAGCAGGTTAATGCCTCCAAAAGGCTGAATTGCTAAGTCAACCTATACAGGGCTAAAATGGTATTGAGATTATCTAAATAATAAAATTTTTTACCTCTTGCAATAAAACTTATAGAAAAAATAGACAAATATGCACATGCAATTTACAGCTTTCCCCAACATAATCCTTGTGCTTAGCTTTTACAATTTTTTTTTTTTCTTTTTTTGTAATAACATAACATTGTCTACAATACATATTCTCTCCTATACCGGGATATTCGGTCTTCCTTGAGGAACCACTTTAAAAAAAATACATTAGAAGTGGTCATACATGGATGAAGGCACTCCAACTCTGCTTGAAGCAAAAACTAGTGTGATCCTTTTCTTTTCAAAAAAGGCAAGCAAGGACGCATGCACAGTGCTGTGAATCAGGGGTGGGAGGGACTATGGAAATACTACCAAGTGTATATACTGGTACTTAAAAAAACAAAAAACAAAAAAAACTTGCTATATTTCTATATTTTAATACCCAACAAGCACCTCCATGATGTGATCCAGTTCTGTGAGGTCCATTTTGAAAGGCTGATTTGGAGTTACTGGCTGACTGCTGTACGGAGCGAGAGTTTTTAGGAGCTCGTCTGCTGAGACGGGAGCCATTTTTGAGGCAGCCCCCGTGGCAGATGTGCAGGGGTCAAAATCATACATGGACGTATCAATGTCAGCGAACAGAATATCATCCAGGGTCAAGTCTGTGAGGAAACCTGTCGAAGTTGTTATCTCAAAGTTGCCAGGTAGCGAGTCCATGAGTTTCGATTCGGCCGTTCTGCTCTCCGGGAGGCCCTCGGGCTTCTGAACGTGGGACTCGCTGGGGTGGCCTTTAGAGTCACCGGCTGCCATTTCGGCTGCTACTGCCTCTGCGGAGGTAGGTGCTGGACAAAGCTCCTCAATTTCGTCCAAGGCTGAGGAGAAGCTGTCCTTTACTGGGTGGAGAGCGGGAGGCGGTGGTTTTGTCGGACCGTCGTGCTGGACAGTTGGGGAAGTGCAAAAAGTGTCGTCCTCGAGCAAAGAGGCCGGGGTGAGGCAAGACTCCAGGGGCGTAGTGCTTACGAAGTCGGCGGGGAGAAGGGGCTGGGAGGCGAGATGGCTGAACGGCGGCTGGGCCTCGCGGAAGTTGTTGCTGAGAGGGTCGGCGGGCTGCGAAGCGGTCACGAACACGGGCCTCAAGCTGCCTTCTTGTTTGAGTTCTTCCTGGATCCGCCTCAACATGTTGTTAATTAAAACTGTCTTTTGCAAGCTCGGCTCGGTTAATGGCCTGTGGTTATAAAGTTTCATAAGGGAAATGTTGAAGATAGTCTGACGCTGTAAGGTGTAAGACACCTTAGAGGGACCATCAGTAGGAGACACCACTTTGCCTTCCAACCCATCTTCATGCTCATCAAACTTCCGCTTTCCTCCTTTCCCCAACATATATCTGAAAGGAAAGAGGAGAGACCGATGAAGCCAGCAAAGCCCGCAACCTGTTCTTCCCCGACCCACCCGCTCCCACGGCACACGCGGTGTGGACAGATTGGCCCCTCTGTCCCCTTTCTCACTCACCCCTAACAGTCGCAAGGGGAAATCTGTCCACATAAATGTCTCACCCGTGGCCCACGGCAGCGCGATGAGGGAGCAGCACCTGCCTTAACGCGGTGCTCTGGTCCGTCTTGTTTAAGCAAAGCAACGCTGGTAAAGCCCCAGCAGGAATTCGACCAGCATCTATAAAACCCAAGCCCTTGTGCGCTTGGCAGCAAATTTCACTCCTGCATATGTGAAGTGCGTGGTCCCCAAATACCCGCCCATAGGTGCACAAGCTGCAGATGCCATACTGAACGTTCCTTTCGATTTCCTGACGGATTCAGTACTACGTGCCTGGGAATACGAACGTAATACAACAAGGTTCTTACGATAAATTTCCCTTTTCGTCCCAAAGTGTGTTCGTGGGGGGAAGGGGAGTGAGGCTCAAGCAATTGTATGCCAAAAGAAACCTTCCCAGTAAAGCTGGAGGTTCAACCCTTTAGCACACCTGGATTTATGCATATCTGACCTCGTGGGTTTATTCACAACTGATCGCCTAAACTACTAGAGCAGGAAAATGCAGTTATTACACTCAGAAGTAGCTAAATTCCAGACGAAGAAGACAGCCCGTCAGGTCTTTAAGTCTAATCTCCACGGCCATTCTCTGCCCTGCACCCTGCTGCTGCAGCCGGGGCCTTCAACCCTGACAGTGCCGGGGACCCAGCATGGGCGGGGGGGGAGAGCATCTGCCTCAGCAAACTTCCAAGGAGTTTGGTGCCTCCCGAGCACCCCCCTCCAGGAACCAGGCCCCCAGGAGCACAGCCCCCCCAGTCCCAGTCCGTGGGAGCACGGGCCCTACCTGCCCCTTGCGCTGGGGGTGGGGTGGGGTGGGGTGCTGCGTCCCCACTCCACGTGAAGCGGCTCTCACGTGGGGCTGGGGCGGGCTCTGCTCTCCCGCGTACGGGAAGCATTTGCACACAGCAGTGTTTGAAATCCTTCCCTCAGCTCCTGCCTGGCTAAGGCGATGCCAGCAGCGTTCGCTTCCCCCGGTAAGACTTTCCGGAGCTTGCTAGCCACAGGCACCACGGCTTTTGCACCAGAGCAACGGCGCATCGTTCCAGACGCACCGTTTGTCTTCATTTCTGCCCCCATCAAAGCGTGTTCCTCACTCAGGACTACGTCCACGTCAGGTTTCATTTGAGAACAAAAGAATGCTGTAGGGCTTTCTCAAGAACAAAAACCAGCATAACCGCATGTGCTTTTCTCCTGGTCAGATAGCAGATTTTGAAGGAAGAAACAAAGGGATTTTTACCAAACTTGCCCCACATCATCAATCATTTCTGAGCTAAGAGTCAGTAGGGCAGTTCAATCCCCGGTGCTGTCTCTTCCAGGATGTCTCGGAGCGTCTGGAAATGCTTCTCTACACGGCACAGTCCCAGCCTCATTCTGTCACCATCCTTTTTGCGACACGAAGATCCCCCAAAAAGCAGAGGAACGAAGGAATCGCTGCTATGCATCCCAACGTTATGCACCCAAACGGGGAGGACACGTTAGGGTCGGAAACCCTCCGCCCCACGCCACCGCATGTCTCTGGTGAGCAGCCAGGGTTTGGTTTGTTGAAATATCCACAACTGCTTGGGTGAAACAGCACAGTCCCTATGACCGGCACCTTCTTTCAGTGCTTGTGAGATGGCAGGTTCCCTCTGACCCTCTCCCCCACTACCTGCACGGACCCAGTTTACCAGCCAAGCTGGTTTATCACATCTAAATCAAAACTAGAAGGAGCAGAGGCCGCTCCTAACACTTCACTTGCCTGTCCCATGGGCTGTGTCAAATCAGTGGAGGAAAAGTCCTGCTGAGACAGGGGTAGGAGCTCAGGCATTGCAGAGCAGCACCCCACGCTCGGCCTGCTTCCACGTCTTAGGGCAAACATTTGACTTTCCTCTCTCCTTTTCCCAGGCAGTGCGGGGAGGTGCTGGAGCACGAAGCCTTTTAAATAGGATCACAGACAGCCCCCTGTTCATCCCTGCATTCTTCCCTCCGTGTTTAACAAAATGCTGATAAAATGGCGTGAAGATTTCCGCCTTGTTTTTTAAAAAAAAACCAAGTGGAAGATGCTTTCCAGCCCCAGCTACGCAGAGAAACTGCAACAGGCATATAGATTTTTAACCCCAAACCTGATTCCTCTCGTATGAACTTCCTTACGAAGCTATCATCCAGCTGTCATCTAGAAGACAAAACCTTATTTGAGTACAATTCCCAGTTCCCCCAACGGGACCTGTGCCTGCAAAATGACGGCACCAGGCAGGTCAAGCACCAGTTTGACCGCCATACACCAGTTCTGCAGACAGACAATGCAGCTGGAGGACTTGCAAACATCCCCAAGAATGGCTGACAAACATTTCAAAGCAAAGAACCCTTGCAGAGCGGGAGAGGGGGCAAAAGAAGTCAGGGCTTCACTGCAAAAATAAAAGAGCTTCAGAAAGCGTTTGCTGGATGGTAAATCCAAAATCAGATTGGGTGAAGTGAGCCTCTTCTGGTTAAAAATAAGTCCCAAATCCAGATCATTTTCTAGCATATTATGCAATTAAAAAAGAAAGGCGGGGGGGAGGGAGCGAGCTGAGCGGAGCTGAGGAACGGGTAGGCTGCCATCCAAGCTCCTTGGCCAGCTACCAGCGATCCCCGCGCCTGGAATCTCGGGTGAACAAAACCTCTGAAATGTAGCACTACTGCCGAAGTCTGTTTTTTCTCTGCTCCCTAGTGTCACTGCCACGGACTACTCCAGAGACGTGCACGTGGGTCTGGGGTGTGAGCCGGGTGGGGGCTTTGCTCTTCAGATGTTCACCAGGGACACACTTCCTTCGACTTGGGACAGACAGAGCAAGAAAGGGACGACCAGGCTAGCAAGAATCAAAACCTCTGCCCAAGTTCAGCAAGTTTTCAAAGCAGAAATGGGTTAGGAGGAGAGCTAGCAGCTTTCCGTCCCTTCCTACTATCTCCTCTGACTGAAAAAAGACAGACTGTCCTAAAGACATACCGACACTCCTTCCGCAATGCTCTGCTTAAAGGAGAAATTTTTAAGTAGCTTGGGGAGTACGAGAGTTTTTAAGTTTGTCAGGCTCTGCCAGGAATGTATAAAAATATTCACAAAGCAAACCTTTTTCCCCATGATAATGCAAACAGACCATCCGGGTAGCCATGGTCCATTCCCTACACTCCATTATTAATTATTATTGTCTGGGGATGTCGACAAGCATTTTGAATTAACTCCATTGAGCCCATTTGCATCCAAGATTGAGGTGCTGGTAGTTAAGACATTCTTCAAGCTGATCAGTAAGAGCTATGGGATCATCATTAGTAAACACAACGATAACCTCTGTACGTCATTTTCTGGGAAGCTTAGAAATGATTCAAGGTTTCCTGTATGCATGACTGTCAATCTTTCACGTCTCACTCGATCTTCACGTAGCTTGGTTCAGAGCTTGTCCTTTTAAAAGGTAAAATAGCTCCAGCAACTCCCAATCTCACTAGCTTTTCAGCACAGCTTTCAGTTTCCTTTTCCCCAGTAATGCTCTCTGAAGCGGGTTTAACCATTAAAGTAGCAAAGCAGGATGCCAGCCTAAGCAAGAGGGTTTTATTCTCCCAAACAGGGGGCTCAAGTGAGCACTGGAAGACTCTCAGCTTTGCAAGTTTGATTTTATTCCCTTCTCTGGCATGCAAACAGGAATCGTAAAAGCATTTTCCTCCAGTTTCCATAAATCACTTTATTCATTCTAAGCAAAGCAAGGAGGCAGTATCTTTTTAGACCAACTGACAGAATTGGTAAAACCAGACATGCTTTCAGGCTTGCAAGCCTCTCTCTGGATCTCCTTAAAGGAATTTTATAGTTTCTGACCACCACAGCTTAAGACAACGTTGCCCGTTTGTTCTTTACAGTTCAATCCATCTCTTCCCTCCTTCAACCAACACTTTCAAGCCTACGTTAAAGAGATCAGTGTTGCACATCTTAAGATGCTGAACAACATTTTTTAAAAAGCAAGCTGTACAATGCCACCATTTGATCCCGTTCAGTTCTGTTCATCTCAATAACTTTGCTCCTAGCCTTTCCAGACGAAGCTCCTGCTGGGAAAACGAAAGCGCCAAACTTACAGATCAGGTTGGCCAAAGATCAGTCCAAACTGAGATATACCCGCATCCTCCCAAATGTCAGGAGACAGAGTTGGCCTACCAAATCATAGGCCATAATGGGGACTGCTAGGCAACAGCGACCCACCAAAACACAAGACTGGATGGGCAGCGACAAAGGGTCACACCCATGGAGGGTCTTTTGCGCATTTATTTCGGCTGAGCCGCAATCCCAGCCAGAGGTATTTCTGCTGCATTTCCATCCGTCTGCCAGCAAATGTCATTTTTGGGGCCAAGCGTCAAGATGGGATGTCGCTTGGGTTTTGCTGTTGTTGTTTTAATAAAGACTGTTGCGGGGTTTTGGTATGTAAGCTAGTTTTCAATGTTCCTTGGGCATGTGGAACCAGAACGCTGAAGAAAGGCAATGAAGCAACTGCATTTATCCAGGAATTGGGGCGGGGAGAGGGAGTTACTTGGAGATCTTCCCCAATATTATCCACCAATTGACTCCGGCTCTGGAAGACCCAGACCCAAAAGCTGAACCATTGCTGCTGAGAAAGATTCAACTTGCTTTTTTGTCCATTTAGGGCGATTGCACGCGCCTCAGAGCCAGAGAAACCCTAGCATTGTTCGGGAGTTGGCTTTTCTTAATTGAAAAACAAAAGTAATATATATTTTTTTCATTTGCATGTCATTTGGCTTCCTTTTATTGGCTCTGCCTGCTCTTCAGACAGAGCTGGAAAAAATGCAGTTGGGGCTCAGTAGAAGAGATAATCAGCCTGGAGCGGGTGG